AAAATGGCCGTGAGGAAAAATGGCTGCGAGTTAGCCATATTTAATCGAATCATAACGAAAATTGGCGCGCATACAATGTATGTAGGTCAGCATACATTGTCTGTATGCCAAGTTTGAACGAGATCGGTCAAAGGGTGTTCGAGAAATAGCTCCGAATGGACGCATGGACGCACAGAACCGAAATAAATAGTCTCAGTTTTCGATGACAGCTTTGAGGGTTGCCACGCGATAACTTTGGGTTACCGAGTTATAGCTTTGGGGGTTGTCAAACAAACACTATTATTCAATCAGAAATTATACAATAGAAGTGTGGAAACTATTTGATCAACTCTTGGAACATAGGAATTGGAAAATTTGAATCAGTTTCAACATTTTCTCATTATGAAATATCAAACGCAAAGCTTTCCCTGAAATAAATTTTTACAGGAATCAAATATGAACAATGAAAAAGTGACTTACCATCCATGTTTTTTGTAAGATCCCTTTTGATAACAGGTTCATGATGTTCAGCTTCCTCCAGGTCTCCAACACCAATAGTAGTTATTGTGGTTGTCCCCATTGCAGCAACCCTTGGCCTTGAGATTGAAAAAGGGTTTGGTAAACTACCTCCTTTTATAAAAGGGTTCCCTGCACCACACAAAGTTAGATTTGTTATTTCTTTTGAGTTGGTTGCCGTAACACCTGGCCATGATGATGTTGAAGCCGAGGTAAAACCGGTGAAAGAGCTAGGCACTGTTGTTGAGAAAGAGGCCGGAACAGTAGTTGTTATATTAGTTGCCACATTTGGGAAATTTACTGCTGCTGTAGAAAAATTAGTTGCTGCAGTGGTCGATAAAGAGGATGTCGCAGCCGCCCCTCCGAGGGGAGGGGTGACATGCAACATTGGAGGAAGTCCCGCCAGATTTGAACTCTGACTTGGCGCTTGAAATTCTGTTTTCAACAACAAAGAACATCCAAGACTTTATGACCTGCAGAAAAATAAAAAAACATTCAATTAATGTTTATTCTAAGGCTTAAGTACTCAATATTCATACTGTTTTACAATATTTTGAGGCAACCTTTCATACAAAATACTTTTTGATAAAATTGCTTTATCCCAAGAGGAGCCATGATGAGTGCCATGTTCTCATACATGTGCTTCTACAAATGAGGGACTTCTTGGAAAGGTTCACATTATTCAAGCCATGAAAATTTGTATCAAAAGTGCAACCACATCACACTGCCTTCACACTGGTATTACTAAGCATAAATAATGCTAATTCTTATTGAATTTCTCATATTGAATTGCTATTCATATTGAATTGCTATATTGAATTGTGACTTCTCCCATGATGCAATGTGCAAGACAGAACGAAAACTTTCTAAAATTACACATGTTCGTCTTTGCTATACTGACAATTAACCCAATAAGGTGGTTATAGTCAAAGTGCAAATAGGTATATAGATCAATATTATACATCAGAGATACATCACAATAAATGTATTACACATTGTACTAAAATACTATGACTGATGAATCAATACATCTGTATAGATCCAAAACTAAGAATCCTATTTCCTTTTATTAACGATTAGAAAAATCGATTGTAGTTGCTTCATGTAATTTCCTTCAATTATTCCACATAGTTAATCATGAAGGAAACAGTTATTCAATGTTATCAAAAAGAGAACTATATTTCATACAATAAAACAGACTTCCTCTTCACCCGACAGAAGGAAGCGACAATCCAGACTGGGGCAGAGAGAATGGCTCCTTTGATTTAACTTAAATACATGTACATTATATATGACATTTTTTCGCATTCAAGTGAACTTGAAATTTGTAGCAATAAATTATATTCTGTAGAGGTTACATCCTGTATATTGCATCTAATGTGTGTATTTCTGACCCATTCTAATACTACACAGGGTTTTTTACTAGAAAAACATTTTACCATTGGTAACACTCAATATTTGTTAAAACTGATCATAATCTACTGACTGTTCAAGGTTTGGTAAGAGAGTGCACAGGGTATGAGGGCGCTGCACCCCTGTTCTCCTGTCTGAAAGAAGCCCTGCTACCCAAGCAGCAGAGTGCGACTCACAGCATCTGTCAATTGTAGAAACATGCAATTCAGGTTATTTGATTGAAATGACCTTAACCTGAAATTCAACATTTTTGAAAAACATTGGCCCTGGTAAATTCAGAACCTAACAAAACACTTATCTATTACAGTCCATGTCCATACATAGCCCAAAAATTACTTAGGGGAAAGTGAAAAAATAAAAAAAAAATATTCACACAAAAATTCATAACTTCTACAAAAACAGCGATATCTTCATCAAATGAACAAATTTGAAAGAGAATCAGTTCATGTGCCTGCATTATGTATCTCAAAGCAATCTTGCAGGTGGTCAAAGTCAAAAATATTCAACAACAAAAATAGACACTTGCATATGGTCTCATGAAATTAATTAATAACTCAAGAGTCTAGTCCATGTCAAGAACATTCATGCCAAATTTCAATGCAATCTGACAAGCAGTTGTTGAAAAAAAATCATTTTTGACAAAAAATGACAAAAATATTCCCTAAAAACAGAGACTTGGATGTGATGTCATGAAATGAACAAATCTGACAGAGAACCACCTCAAGAGCTGTGCTATAAATAGCATGGTGATCTAGCTTACGGTTTGGGAGAAAAAAAAATTGACGAACAACGTACGATGGACAGACAACAACATGTCCAGTCAACCTAAGAGCTCTGTTCGATCATCTTCGATGACAGTGGAGCTAATAAAAACCATTATCGACTGGATACTGCTTTGTCATATAAATACAACTTAGCAATTTTAGCTGTTCGACCTTGGGAAGCAAAAGCCATATTCCTACCTAAAACCCACCCAGTGTTTAACAACCAATTAGATTGCTCCACTGCAGGACATTACACTAATACATGTCCATAAAAACATGGTTTTACCAAGAAGCCTCTTTCTGACTTCACCTGAAAGGATTCTCTCACAGGAAACTGTGAGGGCCTTTGACTAATGAAAATAGTCTATTGTCGTAATACTTTTATATAAATCACATGACATCAAAGACGCAACAACACTGACCAAGAATCACTGAAGAAACAACAAAGGCAGAGTTCAAACTCAGAGGTCACAAAACAGACAATCTGACAAACATACTGTCTATTGAGCTATTCAAAAGATGATATTGGTCATTGGCTTTTGGGCTACAAGATATTTTTAAATATTCATAAGTTGATCAATATGCAGATTTTGTTCAAGTCAGATAAAGCCTATACATAAAGATATTACTTGGCACTTGACAGTAAAATCAGACTTGTAACTTGGTCTATGTAAAGTCAAGTGGTCATTTGGGAACCACACGTCCAATGTGTTTCATTTATTTCATAGGCAAGACACACAGACTTATGCAAGGATGTTTATGGTTATTTCCACAATCCAATGAATAGTACTCAAGTAATTACAACCCCTGTTATCTTTCCTACTTGTTGACCTCACTACAACGTATCATATATCAAAGACACTTGTACCTTCGAACCACAGACAGGGATGGAACTGGCACACCTCTGAATTCAATTAATACAACTGTTGGGTGGGGCACCAACATTCAGTGACACAAGTACGGTACATTGTGAAAACACAGGAAGCCAGAGTATGTTGTGAATCTTAGACAGGCTGCTGGTGAACTCAGGAATACAGTGTTGCCAGAAAACTGACATAGGGTCACACAGTCACCATTTAACGAATAATCACCGCTGACCAGAGATTCTTGATTACAAAAATACTAAAACAAGACAGAGAAGGAAATAACTTGTTGATAATTCCTAAACCATTCATATTGTTTATGTTGAAAACAGTGCACTGCTTGTGTTCTGTTTAAGTCACCACTTTGCAATGGCATATTATAGCATGAAGTGTGTGAGTTGCTACTCTGCATTAGGCATATCATGGTATGGAAGTGCATAAGTTGCCACCCTGCAATGACTCATATTTTGCCTGGAATTGTACGAACTACACAACTTGTTTATAAACTTAAATTGTTGTTCACAAAGGAAGTTAACCAAACACTATGTCCAAAAAACTATGTTGTGACTTAGCGCATACTATTTCGCTGGCTAACCAGAGTTCACTGACTGCCAGTGTAACATACTAGACTATTGATTGCAGTTTAAATAAATGTATCATGGGAAAATTTTGTTGGATCAAAATCAACAATTTGGTGTTTTGTAATGCATCAACATAGTTTACGACTAACAAAATTACATGCAAACGCCATCAGATTCAGCGAAAAATATGTCTGTGAAAATTAGTGAAAAAAGGTTTTACCCCCGGTACTTCTAAATTTCATTGTATGTCCAGGCATAGAAATAAAGCTAAAAAAATATAATAGCATTGAATGATCATGACACATTGAGAACAATAACAGCAGCTGCTGCTGCTGCAACATGGACATACAAATTCATCTACCACAGTCTAGATGGCATGTACATGTAGTTAGTAGATGAACCCATGTATATGATACGCTCAAACCTGTTTATATTATCCACCCAAGGACTTCATTAAAAAGATCTTCATAAACAAGTGGCCTTTACATGTATATGTAGATTGGATTTTGATTTTATGAATCACTAATTTAACATACCGTAATATTTAATAATATTTGTAGAGACAATAATGATGTACACATTTGACAAAATCCAATTAGACAGGTGGTCTTTATGCACAATTTGCTCATACAATATATGTTATGCCTTAGGACTGCTTAAAAAGGGTCACTACAGGCAGGTGGTCTTTATATACAAACATGTAAAGGTGGTCATTAACATAGGTTTGACTGCACATGCAGAGATGCTAAATAAGCTGTAAATTATAAAACTGCTTTCTACCATACATGAGATACCAATATACAAAGCTTTTTTAATGTGAGCCTATGAAAATCAACAAATTGTGTAGCAGTCCCATGTCCCATGCTGTCTATTTGGCTTGTTCAGTCAGTTACTTGCAACCTTCAGAAAAGTGTTACATTTTATCCTCCTACTTTCTATACCTTTCTATTGCCTACTCCAGAACTTAGCGAAACCCCAGCAGGGAGGGAGTGGTTATAGTATAATCTCTTGCTAATTAGACTGGGAAACCCATATACATGTACATTGTGTTATTACCTCCATGCTAAGAAAAAGTTAGGTGATTCTCACTACATAGCCAGTCGAATTTTCAGTTCATCTTACTTAGTGGATTCAGAAGCGGAAATGAGTTTTTTTATAAGTATTCAATAAATTATCCTGTTCACTACAAGATACATGTACTTTAAAGATGTTCTTTTCAAGAAATTCTATTCTAATCACGTATAAAGACGTTTATCATTCTATTTGGTTGCAAACATAAAACACTACTTTACTGTTAAATGTTCCCAGTACCTAATCATAGACTTGTTGGTATAATGAAACAATATAAGGATTGAGAAAGTTTCAATGGACAGTCACGGTACTGGTGGAACTCAAGAATGCAAGTATGGATTGAAGAAAATGGTCACTGAACTCCCATTCAAAGATCTCACTAGGTATTTTTCTGTGACCTACAAATAATGATCAGTTAATGAAAATTACTTGAAGACATTTCCCCTGAAAAATTTTTAGGTTTAGATGGGAATTCCACATATAATATATCTGATTATTAGGGTATACATCAAATTACACTACCACGTATATATACAGTGGTCAATAGTCATGTGATTCTATTTCCATCACTTGCTACATTGTAGCAATGTAAAGTATCTGAATGGTACATAATATTACATGTGGCACATTTTCCAATTAAGAAAGATGCCCTTTTGAACATGACAGTAATGACTTTTTACTGACAGGATACAGGATTGTTTTCAGTGCAAGATATAAAATAATGAGCATTACGTCAGAGGTCAATATGACTTTGTTCTGCCTCAAGTTTATAGACTTTAGGCGAGTTACCATATTTGCTTTACTAGAAAAGAAGTGTCCAAAAGAACATATTAAGCTAAAATTACATCGTGGATGAAATATATAATTAATAATATATGACTGTTTGTCATTTACATAAGCATACTACAATCTCCAACGCAGAGATCATGATTTTACATTCGCCGTTGATTGACCGATGTAACAGTGGTAATACAGTAAATACTCCTAAAGAAGTTCACCAAAACATTGCCATGCTGGTGTTTGATTATTGAATCTGAGAAAGGCAAGGCAGAGTTTGTAGATTATGGTTGTTTTCAAAGTGAAAAACTCATTTTTGACTTTCTATAGTAGAAACTAAGTGGTAATTGGATGAGTTAGCAGTCAATACTACAACATGTTTTACTTTTTTTTTTTAATTTTTTCGTGTGGTAATCAGCAGTACAATGGTCAGCTTAAAAAACAGAGTAACATCTACTGTTATTAAGAGACTATTTGCAATGAACTCTGTTAAAATAAATTAGTAAGTGTAGAAAATCATCTTTGCTTACAAGTTGAACACTATCAGATGCATAGTACCCTATAGCAAATGAGAGCCTGAAACTATTGTATTGCTGGGAAAACAAGATGACAAATAAACAACTGAATGAAAGTGAATAAAAGTAATAGTAAGTAATATACCCGGGATGCATGAACACAGGATTAAACCACAACATCAGAGTAATTAACATAATTAATAGCAATATTACCTGATATTATCATAAGAATGGGCATCATTACTATGGTAATCACACTCAAGTTTCCTGGAAAATAAACAACACATGCACAGGATATGGGAAGTGAACATTGTTGTGCTATACTTGGTGGCAGAATAACAGTTCAAGCAATCCTACTATACAAAGCCTTCAAGTACAGCTGTTCTGAACCAATGACAATGACATTTGTAATTATACATAATACCATATACAAAGCACCGCCTGTGTAAACCCCTGGGTGGGGAGAACCTTTACTTTTACTTTATTTCCTGTATTTTTATCACTTTTTGATTTCTTGTAGTTATTAGAACTTTTAAATTTGTAGTTATTTTTAGTTGCTTTATTTTAATTTTTTACTATTTTTGTAGTTATTTTTATTTGTTTTATTTTACACTACTTTTACCTTACTGTATCCACAGCAGATTACAGTTGCATAATAAATTATTATTATTATTATTATATGTCATGAAAGTTGTTACATTGCTAAGTGTAAAATATACAAGATCCAAACAGGTGCTGTGAAGTTAGCATACTAACAATTCTAATTGATTATCCATGTTTCAACTCTCTCTCTACCACAGACATATGAAACAACAAAACCCAAAAGATGATAACATACATAATATACCGATTGGCAAGCAGTACAGTATGGACTTAAGTGTCTGTAAGCATGGATGTAAAATACCTCATGCTTATGACATCATATCTATTTATAGCCTTTATGTCATACTCTCAAAACATATTTAGTATCAACATGGAACCATATGAAGAAACACAGACAACCAATACTGTCATATATTGGTCCACTGGAATCAGACACAATGGAGAAGTCAACTAACCATACAGAGTTAATTGTTCTTAAGTAACCAATGACAGTAATACGTAATGTCTCCCACCATTTAATGCAGTGCTATTCAGGTACTACAATAAAATTCTAGGTAATGATCTGCCCACTTGCCTGTACCAATGATACACAGTCTAGTAGACTTCCTTCTATTGCTCTACTGTAGCCCTGGGACATGATAAATTATCACAAGTTCAACACACATTGAGCAAGCCCTCCCACATAAAGTGAAATGTCAACAAGGCACTGTGTAGGTAGGTAGGTGTACAGACAACCCATAAATTCATAATACTGGTTGAATGGTGATCATGCTATTTTACAAATTCAAAATATTGTATAAGACTAAGTACTGTATGTTAAATTATTAATTTTAAACAAAATTATAATTTCATTACTATGGTGTGAAAACCATAACTAAGGTCATCTATGGGTTAACTCAACAATTTATTCAGCAAATATATTCTAGTTGACCTATTTCTCAATGCCCACTTCTTTCGCCATGTAATAAAAGTTTTTTCTCAGAGCTGTCACCCCATAAATATACACTCTCTACATACAGCAGCAGCTTTTACTAGACATCTGCCACCATTATTGCGTCTGTAAGGTGAGAATGACAATAGTGTTGTAGTTTAATGTGGCATACAGGCCACACATTTTTAACACTAAAATGAATGAAATCATATGGTATTACCATATTGATCACAGGAACATGTGCTCTACTGTTACTTTGCCCAGAAACACAATATTATTATGCAGACAGATTATTACAACGAAACCTTTCAAAAGAATACACTCTGAAAGCGAAACACATGAAATGCCTGAAACTCAGGAACTAATTGGCGACGGCCTTACAGTTAGATAACGATTTCAGTTTCAATTAACCTGGATTAATGTCTAGGTTCTTCATGAAATGAAGTGTTCTTATGCAAGAAATTTTCATTGTAAAATTGTAAAAATGCAGTGGAATTTTATTAGCGGCTAGCTTAAAGGCAATGGTCATCGCACGACAAGTGTTTGAATTTCATGTGAGCAAACAATGTATTTTACACACATTGTGTACCATAACAAATAGTTTGGCTATGACAGTTTGGTATTTCCCCCCTGATTTGTCAGAAACTCAACTTCTCTCTTTATTTAGTTTCAAGCCATATTCAAGATGGCTGCCCCCATATACATGTAGTAAATATCGGCAAATTAGTCGTATTTATTTTATTACCACTTGTACACCAGCTGACTGTGAAATCAGAAGATCGTTACGCAAAGATGTTATCTTGCATTACTAGGGGTGGGACTAGAATCCATTTGATGCAAATGACAAAAGTCACTAACGTGAGCGATTAATCACTGTTGACATATTATTAAAGATTTGTCATTATATCTTTGACAGAAACCCAAAGGTGACAAACTCTTTACTAGTCATATAGTTTGTCATCTTTGTGTTTCTGTGAATAAGTAGATGTACTGTAAAGTTCGTTATAAGGAGAACTGAAACTACTATTAAATGTTAACAAGATAATATATGAAGTTGCTATCACTACTTCCTGATAAAACCCACAACCCTGAATAACAATCAAAACTTCTGTCGCTATTTATTGTAACAATTAATGAAAAACACTTCTTATGGGTACCTGAATCTAAAAGTAAGAACACTGTCATTACTTCTCCCTTATTAAAATATATCTCTTACAGCAATATATCAAAGCAATGACAGGCAAATCAGTGACACGCTCATCAAACAGACACCCACATTTAGATTTACATATTACTCAAACGGCATTACTCAATTTTAAGAAATACTGAATATATATTTTCCAGGACTAGGATCACTGGGTCTTCCGACATCTATAATGTATAATCTCAAAAAATAGCTTTGTAAAACCAGTCTCGCTATTAATTATATGAATGTATATTGAGACAGTACTTTCAGATTGCACTACCGTGAGAGCACAGGCAGCTGGGGGGGGGGGGGGATTAGCTTTGGAAACTAGCAAAATATAATCTAAAATAATTTAAAATGAATTATTTCAATTCTTTGAATATAGAATATTGTTCCTGGTTTCCAATTCAGTGGCCCAGAGAGTGGAAGCACCCGTGACCGTAAAATACGATGACAACAAAAATAATACATATAATGTACAGCGCGGCGTACTGTGCAGCATACAGTGGGTGGATTAAAAACTACCCTTGTTGTCACTCACGAAGGCATTTCAGAAATTCGTCGGACGTAAATACCAAACAGGCGCCCATCATTTCACGACAGAAGGGTAAAAAGTCACTTTTTTGAGGACAGAGTTACAAAACAGCGGACTTCCATCAACTCGGTCGTATGTCATTCACTCCAGTTATCGACACAATACAATAGTCTAAATTTGTGATCTCAGCTCTAAAATGTAATTGGGCTTGTACAAGACAAAACAAGATATGAGATAACGATTGTGAAAACGTTGATTCGCTTGTTGCAATACTTAGGGAATAAGAAGAAAGTAGAGGAAGCTCACCTAGCTTTCTGTATCCGATAAGGTAATGGGTGCCTGCAAACAGTATTTTTCAGCAAACATCGCCGCCATTACAAATGCCCGGATGTAGGGTATGACATCATGATGATGACTTTTCGACCAGCTGCATAAATTAGATCAGGATCACACTTCCTTGTTCTCTGGCATATTATAATATAATAATGATAATAATTGTTTATTGCATCTTTAGAAATACAATACACATTTCTTTCAGTATATAGCAGTGAAATATAAAAAGTTATTAAGATGAATTTAAAAATGGAAATAAAAAAGAATAAGTTAAAATCACGTTTTTTTGTGCGTAGTTGGAATGTATTGTGCGACATGCTTAATTTTCATTAAAAATTGAAATTGTTTATTACTAGTTTTAATTTCTTTTGGGAGTATTATATGTGAGAACAAATCTTGTCGTAATGTCATGTATTTTGGACAAACTATGAGTAAATGTTCTTCATCTTCTACTTTATGTGTATCACAATGTAGACAAATTCGATGTTGTAATGTTGTTTCGGAACGTGTGTATTTGCATGTTTCTAAATGTAGTACTGTACTTCAAACACTGACTGGAAAAAGACAGTTCTCGAAATTATAAATCCTATATTGTGTCAGTAGACAGTTGGCTATTGCGACGCCCTGAAAGTTTGTCGCGGGTTGTTCTAGCTCCGTTGTTTACCTCGAATGAAATCAAGTTATAGTACATGTACTTGAACTCGGTGATATACCTTTAGTGTCTAGTCCAATAGAAATTCAAATTGAAGCGCCGATGAAGGGCAGGGTAGATTAAAATGCAGATTTATTGCTACATCAGTTTTCAGCTATTGTAATTATAATATATTCATACAATATGACAGATAACAAATCTGATTAAATATGACTTTTTGTGGGGATTGTTTTTATTATATTTTTAAATATTTTTTGATTTATTATTTGTCATTATTTGTTTTTATTTCTTAATATTCTGCATCACTACACTATAATGTTAATAATGATTTGAGTTCTATTTTAGCACACAGTACCACACACACATGAGAAAAAAAAGTACGGAGTGTATATTGACATACCGCGTGTCAGTAGCAAGTTGACCATTGACATGCACGTGATGAATCGTGTCATCATATGCTCAAATGTTCATGAAAACGGAACATGTTTTATTAGAAAATGCTCAGTGACAATATGAGCTTCAAATTGTATTTGTAAACTATTGTTTTTGGTAGCTATCAGTGTATAATATTTGTAAACTACAAGTATTGATATTGCACAATACGGGCACAACTACTGTGCACGTAGGGCTTCATTGCACAACGCGTGCACTACTACCGTGCACACAAGGCTTCATTGCACAACGCGTGCACGACTACTGAGCACGTAAGGCTTCATTGCATAACGCGTGCACTACTACTGTGCATGTAGGGCTTCATTGCACAACGCGTGCACAACTATCGTGAACACAAGGCTTCCCTGCACAACGCGTGCACTACTACTGTGCACGTAGGGCTTCATTGCATAGCGCGTGCACAACTACCGTGCACGTAAGGCTTCATTGCACAACGCGTGCACGACTACTGAGCACGTAATGCTTTATTGCATAACGCGTGCACAACTACTGTGCACGTAAGGCTTCATTGCATAACGCGTGCACAACTACCGCGCACGTAGGCTTCCTTGCACAACACGTGAACTACTACTGTGTACGTAGGGCTTCATTGCACAGCGCGTGCACTATTACTGTAAGCGTAGGGCTTCATTGCACAACATGTGCACAACTACTGTGCACGTAGGGCTGCATTGCACAACGTGTGCACAACTACTGAGCACGTAATGCTTCATTGCATAACGCGTGCACAACTACTGTGTACGTAAGGCTTCATTGCATAACGCGTGTACAACTACCGTGCACGTAAGGCTTCATTGCATAGCGCGTGCACTACTACTGTGCACGTAAGGCTTTATTGCACAAAGCTTGCACTACTACTGTGCACACAAGGCTTCATTGCACAACGCGAACACAACTACCGTGCACGTAAGGCTTCATTGCATATTGCGTGCACGTAAGGCTTCATTGCATAACGCGTGCGCAACTACTGTGCACGTGAGGATTCATTACACAACGCGTGTACTACTACTGTGTACGTAGGGCTTCATTGCACAACGTGTGCACTACTATTACCGCCTTTGAGATTCTTCAAATTCTCATTCAATTTTATTTTCAAGGTACAATCATGCACATAGGTAAGCTAGAACCATTGCAGCGAAAGAAACCATGTACTAGTGTTTCATTATTACGCGTGTCAGTGGAATGGGGATTTCCCAATTCAAGATGCAACGTAGTCAAGATCACATGACAAATTTCCAGGCTCGCTCTGGATGGATCAACCGCAACATGCAAGCGTCGTGACAACAGACAAAAGTGACACCCACGATTTCAGACGGACTTCAGCCACAATTGCCAAAAATAAAGCCGGATATACTAAGTATAGTCGTTCGACGTAGGCGGTATATGTGGTGATTAGTAAATGTGCTCTGAGATTACTATTAGTATTGATGAAAATTATTTTATGAATATGCGCAAATTATGATTACATGAGATATATGAGGATTCGCCCGTGTTCAAAATTAGTACGAAAACTAGAAGACGACCACCCCCAAACCGATATACGAGGCACCTAAGGGTTCCCTTGTTGACATCGTGATTTTCAGGAATCAAGGGGGTCGTATTTTCGCTGTGTTGATATAATGTGATAATGATATATGTAAATGATAGGTACATGATATGTGCCAATAATATTATTTTCAGCTAGTGTATATGTAATAAGGGGTGGGTTTTCTCATAAATTTGTTTCAAAACTCTCCGGGACAAAACGGTGATGATCCATTCTCATAAAATCGACTGAGGCTTCGCGAACACGCAACCAACGGCAAACTCGGTCGATGCTTGGACAAGGCAGACGAAAATAAAGGCATTTCTATTGTATTTGTTAGCTGACTATTGGCTCCTACTGGCAATAGTGCAATAACTATATATTGTTTTCTACTGGTCTGTTCAATAGAAATACATTTATTTACGTCTACGCCCTAACCATGGATTGATTGAGTTTTCCGAAGGTGGCGTGCCCGTAAAGCTCAGGCATATATGGGTGCAAGCAGCTAAAAGTATTTTTATTACTAGGGTGTAAGTAATTGTCTGTGCGAAGAGCCATGGGCATGTAATCACCATTGTCTGTGTTGTGTGTACTTCGTATTTTGTTTTCCCATTGAAATTTACACCCTAAAAGTTATTTGCTTATTATTATTGATACACATTGCTAAATTCCATAACTCGGCCATCTTGTCTTTGAACATACACCACGTTGTGTGTGCAACAAATATCAAAAATATAATCAGTATAACTGGTAGTAAGAAAAACACACATACCGGACAAAAATTAAGGTACGAGTAAGAAAACAAATCAAAACAAAACTACTATGACAATGCTGCAGAAGCGAAATGCAATGAAGGATTGAGGGCGCTATTCCGTTTCCCCGTTTATGACCCTCCCAAAGAAAGGTTTATAATGTTGTGAATTAAGAAAAGACCAAATATCACCCATAGAAGATGCCAACCTGCGCTAGAATGTTGTTGATATTCGTATCAACACTCACATACATGTAAACATAGTACCTTGGCGTTTGTATGGTATACGGTACGCGTGTAGCTAATTTATATCATATTCAGGATATGACAGCAGGCTAAATTATCCGCCTGCCGTCTTTCAGAGTAGACACTGTGTTCGACATGGGTCACATGAGACGTATTAGCGATAACCCGGCTTTCGCCATTTATACACTCGTATGTTTTTTTTATTTTATTTATATGTTTGTTCCACGGTAACCCGGCTTTCGCTATACGTAATATTTTATTTTATTCAAAATACACAAGCGACTGCGTGTAAGTCTCTACCGAGAATACAACGACTGTTTTGTTCACATAAAATTCGAATACGCGCTGAACGACGACTGAGGCGTGTTAACAGTGCCAGTTGTTATATAATTAACTCAAGCACTATTTTATAGCTGCCATACGGCGTGTCTGAAAATACATAATATAGACTTCACTTCTATACCAACTTAACCAGCTATCATTATTTCGTGAAGAGCACTGTCATACTACGCTGTATTCAACTAGGTACATAATTATGAATAAATGAATTAATGAACAGTTGCTTTTGAAATAGCTGTTTTGGACATAGAAAACAAATACAAGAAACTATAGTGTTTTTTAAAAAAACATGTGGGTTATAATCAAAATATAACTGTTTCAACAAACATGATACTATGCAAAAATGCTTTCTAAAAATATTGCCATGCATCACTATTATGAACGGTACTAATGACAACCTCCTCTGGTGTAAAACACAGGTTTATTGGCTGTATTTATGTTTTCCGGAAAATTCGCTGATATACAAAATTAAAGGTTTTGACTTATTTCAAACTTTTGAAACTGACATTACAAACTATTGTTCCCAAATATTGACAATACTAGTAATGGCGCAATTGATGATGAAAATAACAAACACTTACTTACCCTTAGATTACTAGTTTGACGATAACTTCCGTAAAAAAAATAGTTTCGACGTTGATTCAATTGTAATCTGTCAATTTTACCGGCCGTACTATTCGGTCCCAATCGGAAAGTTCACTTGCCATACTCCAAGTTGTACTATACGGTCTCAATCGGAAAGTTCACTTGCCATACTCCAAGTTGTACTATACGGTCTCAATCGGAAAGTTCACTTGCCATACTCCAAGTTGTACTATACGGTCTCAATCGGAAAGTTCACTTGCCATACTCCAAGTTGGCAACACTATGCTAATGATTATCGTCAAAGTGATTACACGATTCCATCTATCAATTTTGCAACTTGAATCAAATTATGTTTAATTTCTTTATCAATGACTTGTCCAACATTTTCAACTCACACACCAACAGTTCATACACACAACATAATGCATATCATATACAGCGTCTAAAATAGATCATCTCTCAGCGTAAACACGGAGATTATAGGAAGCTATCTATTAACACAGGAAAAAAAATAGAAATTATAACTTGAATGAAAGCTAATCGACTGTTAAGTGAAAACATCAAGGAGGCGAAAGAGCAGAATGCTTTGTTCCCATTGAAAGAAAAAATTGTTGATAAATCTAATCTAAATTAAAAAAATACACTATTGACCTTCTTAATATAATCGACTGTAAGTGAAAACATATTTCACTATGAGGGTAAAGTAATGAATACAGCCAGGTATTTGGGAATCACTCCAATCATGAATGGCAAATTCAGGGAGGCGATTAAATCTTTAAAAAGAGGAAAGAGCAGAATGCTTTGTTCTCATTGAAAGAACTAATCTAAATTTAAAAACACTATTCTCCCTCTTTGATAAATTAATTAACTAGTGATATTTGGGTCAGAAGATGTTTCACTTCTTGAGATTATTCCTAGGAAAAGCATCCCAAATAATGCGTGAAGAATTTCCAATAGATGTATTTATCAAAAGACAAATGATTAAATATTCTAACCGAGTAATGAATACATAAAATGAACTTGTGAAAAGGCAGTGTCCTTAAATAGACAACTAAATAGTAAATGGTATTATTGACGATACATGAAAAATAATTAGTCGAAACACATATTATGACAACCACTAAACAAAGACAAGTAACAGAAAAAGTAGACAACTTATCCATCCTTCATTGAAACAATTAAATAAATACAGATATTTGTAAAAAAAAATAACAAGCCATACTGATTCAAGAAAGTATTTGAAATGAAAAACTGTCTGATATTAAATGCTGGCAAAATAATAGTATACTCGTGTAAATCTGTCGAAATTCAAATCGAAACAGGAAGACACATTAAATAAAAAAAAATATATTTCTTTCCAAAGATAGTTATTAACATATGTAAAACAAAGACAGTAGTGACAACACGCCAGAAATTAATACACGTGAATAAGGACCTACTAAAAAAGTGCAATTTAGGTTATGAGTCAATTTGTTGGTAAGTTAAAGGCATTCTTAAGGAGAATATATAAAATGTTATCTGCCAGATCGCTCAAACCAATAATCTTTATAAATTGCAGAAACGTGACTTACGTATTTTAAATGAACATAATCATCCAAGAAAAGACTTGTTGTCTTTTTGCATATTATGCCTTTCTGCAATAGAATTAAATATAAAAATATGGATTTAATTTTTCAATTTTTAAATAAACTTTGTCATGTACCACCGTACATGTACATGTCAATCAGAGCCGGAAACTTTTGGTTTTTGAAACATTATTATCTACTTCAATTTTTAGTCCTGCACTGCAATATGTCTTTATTAAAATTGTTGTGTAAATATTTTTAAATTGTATAAATTACATGCATTAAATATTTGAAGGCCTTGGAGGAGGGGGTAAATTTGTTAATAAATTTACCAAGCTACGCCCATTAAATAAATTTTAAGTTACATAAATAACATATTCTAGTGGAAGACTTACAGCAGTTTTCCACAACATTTTACAACAATCAGAGAAAAAAATATGATGAAGAAGCCAAAAAAAGAAATAAACAATACTGCAACGAATACATAGCATTGGTATCCCACCAGCAGGATTTAAAATTGTATAGGTGTTCTACTTTTTAGTTTGCGAGCTTGTATTTTTATGCAATGTATTTCACTGTATCTTAGAGTCCATGATTGTAGTTGAAGTTTTCTGCTCTCTTTAATGCATATATTTCGTCTTCAGGTCCAATGTAGCCATTGTTCCCTCAGGGAAATTTTAAGCGTTCCGACGAAGTATGAGTAATAAATATTGCGATATTATAAGGATAATTTATCGCTGATTAAGTTTTCTAGAAACTCATGGGGCACATGAACTAATTTTAGAATTTTAATTTATCTGTTGCAAATGTACAATTTAAATATGTATTTAAAAAAAACGTTAAAAAAGTCATGCTACGACAGGTAATGATTTGTAATACTGCTCTCTATAGTTGGTTAGTTGAGATGTTTCTGGGTCGCGGCCAGCCGAATCTTTGTGCGCTGATTGGTCCATTTTCATATTCGTATTTGAAGCCATATTGTTTAGCGCAGTGGACAAGGAATTGGCATTATTGGCATTCCTTCCTAAAAATTGACCGATTTTTCTACAAATTTCAGTTGTATTTTAGATTTTGGTCCTCTACAATGTCTGGCGTAAGTATTCAATATTGTGAATTTTATTTTTGAGTGAGTAATATCGTCAGCGAGGCTCGTTTAATGTTCCAACTGCCTTGTTTTTTTTGTTGACGATTCGTTTCGCTACTGGCAAGCTAAGCGCTGTGTCCACCGATCGTGTTTGTCATTTTCTCTGTTTGCGATTTTTTTCTGGTCTCTGTTGCCAATCGTGTCTTTGATAACCGCATCCGTGCAATTTGCAAACTCCGAGTGTGTATTATACAGTGCAGGCTTGCTGTTTAGAAGAAAAAAATAGAACATTTGAAAATTTCGGTTATGAAATGGTTTGTGCTGGAAAAGCCTTCAGACTATAGAGATGTGTTCATTTATACGAATGGTCGGTACTACACGTCAGTGCATAGTTATATCTTTGCATATGCCATACTGGATTTTGTCTAAATTTTTATGATCTCAGTTTGTCAGTAACAAATTTGCTAAAATTTTGAAATCAATATATTTGCATAGTTTTATATTAGCAACTACCATTACCATTAAGTTATTGAACTCGTAGCCTTGACATGTCCATCAGTAAATTTTATCTCTTGGCCTCACTGATCTCTATGCTATATGACAGAAAGAAAACTCCAAGGATTGTAATAGTTGAAACATCCCATGTATTTAGTGTAGATAGCAAGTACATACAGGTCTAAATACTAGTAGGTGAGACTATATGATCCTG